ATTACAACGACTTGTCAGCGGTGATCCAGCGATATGGGAGCTTAAGAACCCTAAAGAGCTTGGAGCTCCTTCAACTTTCTCTTTTATGTCTAGGTCTCCTTTCATGAAGGGAACAGGGGTCTATTTATAGATTTTTTGATTAACTGTCTCTACAAATATTTCGTCAATCTGGACCACTCCATCGAACATGTCTAGGTCTCCTTTCATGAAGGGAACAGGGGTCGATTTATAGATTTTTTGATTAACTGTCTCCACAAATATTTCGTCAATCTGGACCACTCCATCGAACGACCTAGAGCAACCACTTTGATCAAATGATGTTTAATGAGTATTTGACTGTTTTAATGGCGCCAAAATTGAGCGAACTTGAACTTGTTGGATTCATCTTGATGATATGCTCGATTTAACTATAAACTTGTCAGATTTGGAATCCATTTGATTATTCAATTACCCATTCAAACCCTTAAACTGTGGATTCATCTTGATGATATGCTCGATTTAACTATAAGCTTGTCAGATTTGGAATCAATTTGATCATTCAATTACCCATTCAAACCCTTAAACTGTAATGACTTGAGTTGGGTTTGATTGGACTCAAATCAAACAAAATTTCAGCTTCATTGGGCATGCCTTGTAGAGACGAACATTTTGACTATAAGCTTCTGGAATCTAGCCATGAATGATCTTGAATTCAAACCTTGAATATTAATTGTTTGAAATGTTCTGAGATTCTTGCATGATTAAAATAATTTTTGAGGTCCTATCAGTTGCCCCCTATTTCCAGACATTGTTTAAGCTTCTGGAATCTAGCCATGAATGATCTTGAATTTGAACCTTGAATATTAATTGTTTGAAATGCTCTCAGATTCTTGCATGATTTAAATAATTTTTGAGGTCCTATCAATTGCCCCCTATTTCCAGACATTGTTTTCAAGGAAGTTGAAAATATATCTTAAGCTTTTGAAGTATTATGTGATGCAAAATTGTGATCTCCATGAAATTTGAGTCGGAAATGTCAGAAGATGGCTTCTAGGCCTCAGAGACCACAAGGTGCCACAAATGCGCTAGACTACCACTGCTAGAGATACTGAAGACGTACACGAAGGCAAGCCAATGATATGCATGCTCGTGGACCCACATGTTTGCGGGTGTGCTCGGGCACGCTTTTTCACACTTGTGTTAGGCTTACAAGAGCGGCAGGCGGGCCATTGGGTGTAGGAGGGTGCAGTTGCCTGGGCAGGCAGACATAATTGGACACGTGCTCGTGTTGTTGCTTAACACACATGGACATTGATTACGTGCATGCGTGTGCGCTGATTATGTGCTCCTATGATCACACACACATTTTGGCAAATTTTTGATAATTTAATTTTTTTTATAGTTTATCCTACGACGAGACAATTGGCTTCCTATGAAAAAGGTTTTGATTAACCTCATCAGACATACCAATTTGGAGGCAATCACGGTTTATAATACTACCACGAGGCAACTGTCTTCCCTTAAAACGGTATTGACCAGCCTCATCAGATAGATCAAGTTGGAGGCAACTAAGCCTGTGATATTGCGGTGAGGCAATTGTCTTCCCTTGAAAGAGGTGTTGATCAACCTCAGCAGACATACCAAGTTGAAGGTAATCAAGGGCCCATGATCCTACGATGATGCAACTATCTTCTCTTAAAAAAGGTGTTGACCAACGTCATTGGACATACCGGGTTGGAGGCGATCAAGGTGCGTAGTCCTAAGGTAAGGCAACTACCTTCCCTTGAAAGACATGTTGACCGACCTCATCAGATTGATTGGGTTGGATGTGATCAATGTATGTGATCTTATGGTGAGGCGATTAACACACACCAAGTATTGTTAGGCATAGGTGACTCACACAAATATACGTGGCGTATCAATACTATACATAATTGAATTTTGTGTGTCGATCCCAAAGTGAATGAGATGAACTCTAATAAGAAAAGTTCTAGCCTACAGTTGTCAGTCCTAGCATGAAATCTTAAAGTTTCAAAGTTTAATAAAATTTCATACCCTAATTTTAAAAGTGAACAAACCTTAAAACATCAAAAAGAAAGTTGTTGATTCAAGAATTGCCTTATGATCTCCTTTGAAGTGATTATGTAGGGATTTAAACCAAGTAAATAATTCAAAAGCTAGTGTGAAACAGAAAAAAAAAACCTTTCTTATCTTCTTCAGATATTCTAAGAAAGATTGATGATCCATTTGTTTAGTTCCCTAATTCAAATGATATTAATGGTTAATAAATGAAGGTATTAATGGTTGATAAATGAAGGTAGTCTAACGATACTGAGGGTCATAAAAAAGTAACATGCTAAAAATGGTAATGGTCTTGTGATGGTGGTGGAAATTATGATGTCGTCGTGGCAATAATAGAACAACAATGATATTTGTGATATAATGACATCAACTCGATGACAATAGTATGGTGAAGACACGAGCTAGAAGATGGTGATCCCGCAATGAAGTCAGTGATGGCAATAGTGACTTTTGTTTGATAATGATAGTTTGATGATTATGATGGGGTTCGTTGGCATCATTTGTGATTTGATGATGTAAGCCAATTGACAATGGACTACTTGCGACAAATGATGGGAATTGATGATCCTGCAATGAATTCAGTTGTGGCAGCAACGTCTTTTGTTAGACAATGACAATCTGATGATTACAATGGGGTACAAAAACATCAATTGTGGTCTAATTGCTTTAGTCGAGTGAAGATGGTATGGTGGCCACAATAGATGGGAGATAGTGATCCCACAATGAAGTCAGTGGTGACACTGGTGCCTATTGTTAGACAACAATAATCTGATGACTATTGTGGGGTCCCACAACATTAGATGGGTGATGGTGGATTGATAATCGCGGCGGTCGGGTGATGGTGACAACAACAACACCATTGCAAGTCAATGGTGGTTCGTCAATGATAGTGTACCATGATGGTGATGGTGGCTGAGTAGTGTTTATCTAATAATGGTTAGTAATGACATTGGTTAGGAGATTATGGGGGGAGGGGGGTCTAGAGATTTCATTGAGTATTGATGATCTGATGATGACAAAGGTGGCTAAGTGTTGATGATCTGGTAATAACAGAGGTGTCCACTAAGTGATGATAGCCCAATAATTGTGATGGTGGCAGCAAAGATTGCAAGACACCAGTACAAGTGATAACTTTGCCCACCAAAGTGGGTTAAATCATTATATGTCTTAAAGAATAATAGTTATTTCCAAATGATTACAACCAAGTAGTAAAGGTTATGCAAACTACATTTAAATGATTTTTGGAGAGTGATGAGCGAGTGATCCAACCATTGAATAATGATAAACAAACAACATAGTGGTTTTCACGTG